GCCCTTTCCAATGCAAAATATTTATACACTCAGATCATAATGATGTATTCAGATCGGGGACTCAGGAAAGATATATAGGAACTAGGACTATTCACATAAAGATCTGCAGTAAGTCGTACCCCAGCTGTGGTAAGAAAAGTGGGCATCTTGTAGTAGATGAGAATCCATGAACACAAAGGTTGGTTGTAAAAAACGTACGGATGCCCCAGGCAACAGTGCGGAACGTAATCAAGAAGGATCTCCGTCTGGAAAGGTGTCACAACTCACGTGTACGCAAGCTGCTTCCACGATAGATCAATTCGCCAAACGCAACGCCTATGGATTTCTGTGGAACTGGACTGTTAAAACCGGCGATGTCATTCTCGTGCAGTAGACGAATTACTGAAAACAAGCAGTTTTGCAGTGGTAATTATTGGACGAAGCGACATGAACTGTAACGACTTAGTAAGACTACAAAATCATTTCAATATAGCGTAGTGAGCCTCTGTACTATACTACACTTATCCTTTATATTGTTGTTTTTTTGTAACTTATTTTGCCACATGTTTCATGCTGTTAGGTGGTTGTGTTTAGTTCTGTATTTTGTACCCATTTTTTTTTGTAGTTTTTATTATGAGCGAAACATAATTCATTATAATAAAACCATTTATGTATTATTTGGTTTCGGTACACAAAACGCAAACTTCTCCCAAAGCATATTTTGCTGCAGACTCTTTCCTCTTTATATAATGAGAAGTTATCATTCTTACCATAAAAAAATACTCAGGGTACTTGCATTTATATTTATTTAGGTATAAGTGCTCTTAATAAATGTGCAAGTAAAAGAAAGCTTTGAATATACCATAAAATTATATCTTTTCTGACATTTGTTTCTTATTGTTGTTTTTTAATTCTCAAGAGATAAAAAATGTTTGACAGTTGCCAAACTAAAATCTAGCGACGTACCTGATAGTCAATGGTAACTAATATAAGTAAAACACATAACTATTACAGTAACTGTTCATGAACATTTTCAATCTTCAGCTATTTAATTCAAAAAGGTACTTTGTAAGTATACAGTCATTTATTGTTTTAAGACTACACCTTGAAAAGATAAGGTGTCCTATCTTATCTACTTGCATGCCCTGTAGTGACGCGAATATTTTTTTCTGCTTTAATAGCTTTCGATTTTTGAAAGAGTGTGCAGCCTTTAGAATTTGTTATTTTGAAAACTGTTTGCTTTTTTATCAGGCTTAATACATTCTCACGACCAGATCGTATCTGGACGGATTCGTTAAAAACATGAGAGAAAATTTTATCAGAAACTCAGAATGTAAACCACTTATAGTTACTGAAGGTTGTTACAAATGCCTGTTGTTTAAGGTAAGCTCTGCATTACCGATGTAAAATAAAGGCATGGTCAGTTTATCTTGATTCTAAAGTTTATTAAGTTTTAATTTGTGTACGTGTTTGCCTACTAAAGATAATTTGTCCCAGATTTTTTGGTTACTCATGATCATCATGCGGTTGGAATTTGCCACATTCTAAATAAGATGTAAGTTTTTATGTATTTCTGTAATTTATTGTAATTTATAGTATTAGATTTAAATAATTCAGTATGCATTTTAGCTACTTATAGTATAAAATAGATTAGTATGTAACATTAAAATCCTTAAATAGTAATAACTACACTGGCCAAATGAGAAAGGCGCGGTAGATCATAGTACACGAAACTTTATATGTGACAGTTCTGCTTTGGTGCTTTGAATATCACTAAACAAACACAACTTCATTAGGTGTTTTTGAGTTAAGGGCCGAAAACACCGCCAATTGTGAGGGTACTATTAGACTATTTATTATTAATTGTAATTATTATAGAGAAATTTTACAGCTCCTCTAGTGTAAGTTAAAACATAATTGGCAATAGGAACTACCGTAAGTTTTCAAACTCATTGGAACAAAGTCAGTGCATAAACAACTTGAAATTTCTAAATCACATGGTATTATAATTGTGAAATTAATATAATATAGACATTATACATACTACATACTAAAAACTTATGAAATAAAATATTGTATATACAAATCAAATTTGTTTCTCTGTATAGAAAGATTCTTATTCGGTTAAAGAAACGGTAACCGGCTTTAGGACATAGCGTAAGGGTATTTGTAATATTAATAAACTATTTTTAATCAAAATTGACTGTTTTGAATAAGTAATTTATATTTTTTATCATCAGTGATCAGTATGAGGCATATTAAATAGTATTCCTTTTTCTAAATGTGGAAAGAAAAACAGTAAAAGGATATTCATGCATTTCTGCCATGAACGCAGAAATTAATTAATTAATGTGGCTTATCATGCTGGATTTAAGAAACTGACAAGTATATTGCAACGTATTATAGACAACATTTTCTGGAGTTCAAATATACAGTAACTATTGATGTTTGTTTGAGAATCTTGGTAGAACTTTTGAAGAAGATGAGTGCACAATATAAGAAATGTTTATTTCAAAATTAATATACCTAAATGAAATAAGAGTATTTACTGTATAAACGTTATAACTAATAAGTCAATTACGTAAACTTACGATGGAACACATAATTTATTGTTCACGTAAACGTTACTTTTGTGAATTCCATATCAGAAGTCCAATATGTTTAAAGTTCACAACTAATTCTTATCTGAAACATTTAATTAGATAATTAGAGAGGTGCGACGACTTATTGCGCAAGTTAATAAAACGACAAAGAAGGGATATTATCAAGTATTTATCTTTTCTTCCTGTGTAGCTAGTGGTTATCAGACCAAACATCCTTAGTAAACGTAAGTTAGCAATTGGAAACACACACAATGATTTACACGGATATCTCGACAATTGCCACTCCCAAAAAAAAAGCCTGGAATAATATTTCAACGGTTTTATTTTATGTCCCAAATCGTACTCAAGAACTGTTTTTCCCCATATGGTATTTTCGCGGAGAAATCAGGCCCTAAAGTCGGAAACTTTCATCATTAAGCATATTCCACGCTACGTAACCTAGCGGAAACAGCCAGTATGTTTTGTTGTGCAGGTTCTAATACAACTTACCTTTTATACATGTTTGGGCAATGTTTATTTTTATAAATCTATTGGCTACGTTAAAAACATACAAATATTTATCATAACTGCTTTACAAGTGACAGATAATTATTGTTTATCACATTCTATTATAATATCGCTAGGTAACGTATACATGGTGATTTCTGATCAAACTCTATACCAAGTTGGTTCCCTCGGGTACACTGAACACATCCAATTGAGAGTAACTGCTCTGATTAGAGTTTCAACCATTGAGAGTAACTGCTCTGATTAGAGTTTCAACCAGCACAATAATTATCATAGAGTTAAACTGAATTCTATCCTGCGGACTCAGTTGGAGGAAAGAGACTGGATACAGTGTATAACACTACAAGCAGAGATTTTGTTGCTCTGTTTCACAAAACAATTGTACAATTATGTGTAGATAAGGCGAGTGTACAGAATGAAACCATAGTAACGCTCTCTTACTGGGGAGAATTCTATCTCAGATGATGATCTGAAGAAAAAATCTGGTCAAGACTGAGAGAATCAACCATTATATAAAATTACAAAAGGATCAATTCTCTCAGAATACACTTATCACAGCTATGATGATCAGTGTACTGATAGATTTTTCTGTGATACCTAATCTCGGTTTTTTATTATGTGTCTTTTTTTTTTCATACATGTATTTAGCACTTTGAGCCTATGAAAACAGTTAATGAAAAGATACGATTTTTTTTAGCTGACTAGAGAAATTATCACACAGTTCAGAATGACTCAACATGGCCTTTGTTGCTTCCTCTGAAGCTGGCTATAAGGCAGGTTGCAGCAGGTGACATGATGTCGCTTGAATACTTCACTGAATACGTGACTTTGGACAGAACGAAACAAAGAAAGACAGTCGAATGCGAATGGAAGGTACTTTTTACAGTCTGTGTTCGGTTTTCCAGTCATGAAGCATTTAGTTAAAGTAACTCAAGGGTGAACATGGCTGACAGGTGTTCACAATTTTACAACAAACTCCTGGTCAACAAAAAATTCAGGCATCAGAGAGGCACTTGTAGCAGCAATAATTGAAGTAAAATATTATTTTCACTTAATGATATTTGTTATTTGCTAACTACTTGTTTATAATTTTCTATATAAAAAAAAGAAGGATCCCATTTTTATAATATCTCAAAATTTGAGTGTTTCCTAATTTTTATGACTTGAAAATCTGGTCATTCTAACTGATCACCCACTTAATTTGATCTGCTTATAGGTAAAAACAGGGAGGAAATAGCCTCCAGGTATTCCTAAGCCTTTGCTCAACCGATTTTACAACTATAAAGAATCCTCAAGAGACATCTTCCGTGGGAAGGTTCGGGAACATCAAAGAGGAAATGCATGGCTAGCTTGAGAATAAGGTTGCCGCATTCGAAAGCCAGTTACCTGCATGTTAATTATAGTATACATGCAACAAACGTGTATGAGGGTAAAAAAAATTGACGAACAAGAAATGTCCAAGTTTCTAAGCTAAACGGAAAAGAAACCCCTGATATGTTTCAGATACAAAACAAACACACTTTTATAAAAGTAAGGTGGATGACATTACCATGAAAGCTTTGGGAGGGAAGTACAGTCCTTATCATGGAAAAAAAATGTTAGAGGGTCTACTGCTTATCTATTTTTATTTCAAACTTTACAGTTATATTTTGGTGAGCACTTATTCTGTACTCAATATATATATGTATGATTGGTCCCCAACTTTTACGAAAAATTTCATTAATATCAATATTCACTTATATAACGAAATAGTGAGCTTGCCTTACAAAAGTTACAGTAGTGCGGGAACATGACATTACAAGCGATTCGTAAATAGGACCATTTGGTTTAAAATACTGTTAGTTCTTTTAAACAGATTTTAAGGAACTATTTTATTTATCATTTGTAATAAAAGTGTTTCTTTTCTTCCAGACAGCCAATCCAGCTTATCGTTATTCTCAACCATCACTTTCATCATTAAACAAAAGTTTCTCAGAAAGTCGTAATTGTAGTAACAGTAGCACGTCTTCTAGTGCAAGATTAAAGAAACGGTCTTCCTGGGCATGGACGTTGTTGTTTGGAGAGCCAGAAAACATCTCTTCCCGACAAAAACGCTGTGTCACTCTGTTTGTCTTGGTACTGTTAATTGGAGTGGGACTTACAGCAGGCGTTTATTTCGTTGTCAGTAAGTTTCTATTTGAATATAAATGGTATAAAATACGACTACCAGCACTAACAAAAGTACCTACAATAGTTCTACCGCTGTAATGTGTAATTTGTAAGCAATGTGAATACAAGAATCTTATCTACCTTATATATAATACAGTTTACTTTTTCACAATTCACGAAATAATAACGCTCGCTTTAGTAGAAAAAAAAAGAAGGTAGTAGGCATTCTTGCCCTTTTGTTACCGTTATGTGCTAATGAAATAACTTGTTAAAGTTTTAATATCACTTGGACAATTTTTTAATTATTGATTAATCAGTTAAGTAATGAAGTTGGTAATTCCATCGCAGTTTGCTATCTAATGTATAAACTATAGTAAAGTATTCTACTCATAGAAACTATCTATGTGAAAATATTGTTTTATACTGGGTGAGTTACATTCACTTCTTTTTTAACTTTTTTTTTGCATTGTCGGATATTTCTCTGAATATAGTATGTTTTAAACATACAGAGCCAGACTTGAAAGTATGATTTTCTTATTGCTGTAGCCACAGTCTCACCTGGTGGCTCGGCAAGCTCAAGGGCTTATGACGCTAAAATCAAGAGCTCGAACCCTGACCACTCCATTGTACAACTTTGCACTTAAAACAAACAAACTCACTTTTTTTAGGACCGCACGTGGTCTATGGTTGTCGTACCGACGGTACCGTACTGTGAATGTGAATGCCAATGGTTCGCGTCCCGTCACCTAAAAAACGCTCTTCGCACTTTGGGGTTAAGGTTTCGTTATAAAAACGTGACGATCAAATCCCACTATTCGGTTAGAGCAGCTCAAGAGTTGGCGGTCGTCTATTAGTTCAAACTAAACGACGGCAAGAGCAGCCTTTTTGTAGTTTTATGTGCATTTCTAAAACAAACAGACTACTGCCTAAACGGTGAAGCATATTTGTAGATGGAGTATCGGGTCTTAGGTTATAGCCTTTTGCTATATAAAGTTGTGGACACAATATCATCATCA